GTTGCATGATTTTAATGAATATATATATACATTAAAAAAAACAGAACATGAAATATTTTGATAATAAATCTATCCAAGTTTAACACAACACATAATACTACCTGAATAAATATGCAGAAATTAAAAAACTTGCCACCATAAAGATATAATTAATATAAAAAAATATAATAATTAATGAATGAGACAATCAATGTTTTGAAGTAGACAAGATAGAAATTGTCTTTTTTTCAAGCAAGGGGCGAACAACAAATTCAAAGGAGGAGCAAAACCCAAAAGAGAGAAACACATCTCAAACGAGAAGAGCTTACAAATTCGAAATTAAGATATCAAACAAAAGGTCTAATTAAATTGCTTAAAATTACTAAATAGCAAGCAAAGAAAATCTACAAATCAAAGTCACCTCTACAACTTACTCTAAATTACCACGAAAAATAGGAAGGCTTGCTCAAATCAAAAATTTTAACCAGAGAAAGTGAGAACAACGGAGCTGAAGAACCTTGAAACCATAACCACTATGGACTATAGCTAAGGGAAGAACCAACCTCGGAAGACAACCACAATATAGAATCAAGACGAAGATAACACCATCTAGAAGATACAAGTAGAAGCCAAAACACTCCGACGCTTTTTTTACTGATACTCAACCCAATACCATGTTCTATGAGTTCATTTAAGAGCGATGAACCCATTGAGGGCAAGTTGTTGATATGCATCACCGTTGAAGAATTATTCAGAAAACCCGGAGATAAGGAAGCGAATCCGATGGGTGGGGAAANAAACTGTCCCAAAATAATCTTCTTCATCAAGGAGAAACTACCATTAACGCCAACAGCTCAATGCCACATTTACCAAGGAAGAACCAAGAAAAAAAAGAAAGCCAAACCAACTACCAACAAGAGAGGTAATGCTAAAAAGATCAAACAAGCTTGGGTCTAGTAGGAAGCATCAAAACCAGCTAGAGAGAGAGGAACGAGATCTAGCCAAAGAGGCACTTCTACCATAACAAGCATTATGAACAGCAAGGCAACAAGGTCTAAGACCTGACCGAGCCGAAGCATCAAACTGATATAGAGAAAGCAATACCTGAGAGCACATTCGTCGAGGACCAGATAAAACACCCAAGCCACTAGGGTTTGGTCCTCCGAAACACCACTCGCCAAGCCGCTCCTAAGATAGCCTCGAAGACCTCCAAACCTGAAGAAAAGGGGAAAGCTCTGACTATAAACCATAGCTGATAGAAGAAGAGAAACAAAGAATCGGGAATCCGAATCACTCAAACCAACCAAAGACCAACCCTTCTTCAAACATACCTCAGATCATAACGGAAGCCGAAACTCTAAACATGTCTAGCAATCAGATCTAAGCCTACATGCCATGAATCATGTAATATAATAGAAGAAAATATGAAATAGGCTTCCACAGATCCACCTTCATCGTAGATATTCTTTGTTGATGAAGAACATCTCGCTATTTTTTTCACCGCTCTTTGAGAAATTCACTGTCTTNCCTTTGGGGAACGTCTTCATGTGCTCTTGAAGCTCAAATCAGTTTTGCTTCCATTGAGAGCTAGATCTATATGTCCTTAACATATCTGCAAAGATTCAACTCAAACAAAATTNCTTACACAAAGATACTTTACAGAGATAACACAAAGATATTTTCTTACAGAGACCCGTATAAAAAAATTATAAAACTCCTTACCAAAATTAAGCTTCATCCGATCTCTGGCAAAGTCGCAACACCAATTCTATATTGACTAGTCACAGATTCTTACTGCAAATNTCAACTCCAAATAAACCACCATAACNTTCATATCACACAACTCCAAATGATAATCCTTTTTTTTTATTCATGTAACTAATAGAGTCATGAAGGTTCTTACCAAGTTTCAGATCGATCAGAGCGATTCTNATCTTCGAATTCCATTTTCNACCGAAAATGGTCTGATATGCGATTGGTTGAGATTAGGACAGATTGTGACGAGTAGAAAANGCCATAACTTTCACCATAAACGTTGGATAAGTACGATTTTGGACTTTCTCGAAAACTGGGACTCGAAGCTTCGAATGGATAGGTAGATCGTCTCGTGGTTGCCGATGGTTTATTGGGAAACTATATCTTAAGGTGGTGGCTACACAAAATTTCAGCATGACTTTTTNAGGAAATTNCTTATGTCTAAAGTGTATCACGTCATATCTCTTAGATAAGGATGATAAACCCTAATTCTTCTTTTTCACGGGCTTTTAAGCCAAAATAATTTAACGGATTTTAGAAAAAACTTAAATGTGCACTTAGGTTGGAATAGAGATGTNACAATACGGATCTTGATTTATACACTACAGAAAAAGGGTATATTGTACCACTTAAATTGTATCACAAAATAGAATGAAACTNTTTTAAATTACTTATTTGTAAATGAAGCAAATATATATGGTTTA